CAGGGGAGGGAGCAATTACTAGAATCTGGACAAAGAGAGCTGTTGTAAGGGCTATGTGACAGGAATCCTATCCCTTGGTCCAGAGATGCACCCGTGGTGAACTTTCAGGGAGGAAGCTAGGAGGATATGTCTGCCGGGACTCCAGTTGGCCAGACCCTACCAGATTGCAGAGGGCAAGGTAGCCTCTTTGTGTAACCCTCTCAAGGTACAGAGCGAGGTGGAGAAGGGAAGAGAGTGGATCTGGAGTGGCAAACAGAAGATATTTAGCACAGTTTCTTTCCTCTAAGGAAGAGCTCACAGACAAATGGAGAAGACATGTACACACATTCACAGTTTTAACAAAATATGTGAAAAGAACTGCCTCGCTAATCTCTTGCTATGTAACAAACTACCCCAAACATATGGCTTAAAATAATAGCCATTTATTTGCTCATGATTCTGTGGATTGGCACTTTGGGCTTAGCTGGTGGTTCTTCTGTTGATCTCACCTGGAGTCACTCATGTAGTTTCACTCTTCTGGTCACTCAACTGGGAGCTGGTTGGTCTAGAGGGCCTCAGGGGAGAGCTCATGTAGCTTCTGCGTGGTCTCGTCTTCCAGTGGGCTAGCCCAGGCTCCTTGCATAGTGACACTGCATTCCAAGAAGTTGAGAGAGGAAGCTGCAAAGTCTCTTTAAAGCCTAGATTCAAAAGTGGCACAGTGTCACTTCTGCCACTTGCTATTTTTTAAAGCAAATCACAAAGTCAGCATAGAAAGAAAGGATGGGAAAATACATTGCATCCCTTGACTGAGGGGTGGCAAAGTTACATTGCACTAATGTAACACCATGTACAAAGTTAGCATAACCACCTTTCAATCAGTGAATGAACAAAGCACTTTCTGCACTGTATTGTAACTGTCTCTTTAAGTTATCAGGCTTCCCCAGTAGCCTGAGAACTCCCCAAAGACAGGAACTTTGACTGACTCATTACTTCGTTCCTTGTGCTCAGAGCAAGGTCTGGCACACAAAAGATATTAAGTGTGTGTTTGTTGAATGACTATGGCTGGGGTAGGGCTGGTGAATGAATGATCTACTTGTCCAAAGCCCTAGAGCCACAAGTAGTAGTCTCTTTAAATATAAAGTTGACATTATAGAACACTTTCTCTACCTCATTGAGACCCTTCAAATATTGCCATCATCCATCAAGATCAAATTCAACCCCCACTTCCTCCATAAAGGCTTCCAAGGCTATTTCTTTTCTTCTGTTATAAACTCTCTGCAACTCTAATGGCTCTTAACCCACAGCTTGACATTTGCTTTTGAATTCTCTGACTGCTCCCTAGGGGTTCATCCCTAGTGGTAAGTCCCCAAGACTTAGAGAGCTATATCTTCTCTCCTAAAGGGCTTGTCACAGTGCTGGGACCACAGGATGTCAACACTCCCTGAGTGGACCATCCACTCTGGGTGGTCTTAATCCTGTGAGGTGTGGAGAAGGTATGCAAGGAGCCATTCGTACCCTTGTCAGTGCCATGCACATGAGAGCCTCCTGGGTCTCTGGGACAGAGTGAGGCACAGCACTCTTCTGGGCTCTGGTCTATGGCCTGGGCCTTTGTTGTACCAGGCTCTGGCCCCTGAGCTAACTGGGCATAGACCATTAATGACAGTGGAATGGTCTCCTCCCCCTAATAAGAGTCCAGGGCCTGAGTCATTTCTTGTGGACACGTGAGCCATCACTGCCCTTCAGACTTCTGAGGTCTCAGGAACCAAAAGAGCAGGTGTTCAATAGGCCCCCAAAGCAGAGCTCCTGGGTAACACATTTTACTTCAGTGTCATGAAGAACATGAAAGCAAGCTATCACATAAGGTTCTGAGTTCCTTCCCATGCTAAACCCTTTCCAGTCACTTCTGTTGCCCTCAGGATAAAGCCTAAGACCCTTACTATGGCAAAGTCTTCAGGACTTGGCCCACATACCCCTCCAGCTTCATCTCTCACCATCCCACCTTGACTCCAGTGTCCACCCAAACTGATCTATTTATTGTCCCTTGAATCACCATCTGCTCTCTCCTAGCTCAGGCCTTTGTGTATACTATTCCCTGTGCCTTAAATGCTGTTCCCCATCTTGCATCACAAACCCCTTTTCACCTGTCAGTGGGTTCTTCAAGACTTAATTCAGACATCACTTCCTCCAAGAAGCTTCCCTGAAGCCCTTAGCTGTGTTAGGGATCTCCTGTAGATGCCATAGCCATGAGCTCCTTCAGGATAGGGACTGGGACTTCATTTAGCCCAGATTCTGGCAGAGAATCCCTGGCAGTCAATGTTGAAGGAATAAACAAATGAGAGTGTTTGAGAGGCTGGAAAACCAACTAGCAGGATGTTATAAGGGCGAGTGCAAGGTTCTAGTATTTCTGAGGTCTAAGATTCAACAGTTCCCTAATTCTTGGCTGAAGATTCAAACTTGGGCTTCCCTCCATCTGGAGCCCACTCCCCAGCTAGCCACCTCCACCCTGTGCCTTCCGAGTGTTTGTTCTCAGGCAGGCAGGCACACACACATGTTCTGAACAGAACCGGGAAAGCAATTTACAAGAGATAATTGCTGGTCGATGTGTGCTTGGGAGCAGCGGTGAGCGCAGACTATTTCTGTCTGTGCGTCAGCCCTCCCAGCTTCCTTCCTCCTCCACGGCCCTGAGGAAGGGGGCTCCCACTTCACAGGGAGGGCAGTTGGCTTCTGACCCCAGACACAGACAAGCCAACCCCAGTGAGAGCCAGCTCTGAGGACTGATTGAATTCAAATGGGAGAACCTGAAACATGGGGGATGGGAAGAGCTTTATGGGGTCTGGGATGTATAGGTCAGCAAAGGTAACACACAGTCTGTTTTCTTTTCTTTTCTTTTGAAGATTTTTTTATTTATTCATTTGAGACACCGAGATACAGAGAGAGAGAGAGCATGAACAGGGGGAGAGGCCGAGGGAGAGGGAGAAGCAGGCTCCCTGCTGAGCCAGGAGCCCAATATGGGGCTCGATCCCAGGAACCTGGGATCATGACCTGAGCCGAAGGCAGACGCTTAACCATCTGAGGCACCCAGGTGCCCCACACAGTCTGTTTTCTACCTATTCCCACCCCATCTACACAGGCTCCTGCTGGGAAGTGCTACTGGACCTTTAGGGAACCTGCTCAGTGTGAGGTTTCCTCTTAATCTCTCTAGCTGCGTCCTCTTTGTTCTTCCTGGCCAGTCATGTTCAAAACGCTGGCCCAGACCAGCAGCAGCATCCTCACCTGGAACTAGTTAAAATTGTGAGGACTTACTCCAGACCTACAGATTCAGACATTGCAAGGTGGGAGAGAGGTGGGCCCAGCAATCCGTGTTTTAACAAGTCCTCCATCTGATTCTGATGCAGTCTGAAGTGTGAGAACCACTGCTTTAGGCCTCTGATGACCAACTGAGTTTTTACAATTTATAGATTACGTCCCCCCATCAGACCATGAGCAGCCTAAAGTATTGGGGATTACTGGGCAGTACTGGATTCTTCTTTGATTCTTCCTGGAAGGCTCAGCACAGGAAGTTTGGAGGAAAACTGAAATTTACTGATGGGGATACTAAGAAGAGAGACAGGATCTGTCCTGTGAAAGGTCATGAAGAACATTAGTGACTAAACCTCCCGTCTGTCACCCACTCGTGCCACACACATACACACACACACAAGTACCCTAAGCTCTCTGTCCAAAAGATAACTTGCCGTTCCTGAGCTGGGTTAGGCTCGCTCTGATTTGGAACAAGTTGTATTCTGAACATAATGTCTTCTGACCTTGTCTCACCTGGAAATTTTGACTCATCTTTGATGATTCAGCTCAGACATCACTTATTCCTTGCTCAGACTGCATAAGGGGCCACCATTGGGCCCACTTCCCTTTTGTGTGCTCTCCTTGCCCTCCATGGGATCCCCTTGAGGGCAGCAGCTCTGGCTGATTCACTGTTGTTTCTGGTAATCCATGCAAGTCCTAGCATAGAATAGACACTGCTGGATGTACGATAAGTGGACGAAGGTGCTGGGTTCAGAGCACTGAAAATAAAACACACATACACACACACACGCACATAAAAGAGACATATATGCACACATACACATATGCACACACACACACACACTTATACACACAGTAGACAACAAATGAAGACCAAAACCAAGGTCTCTCGACTTCTGGCCTAGGCCACTTCTGCAGGTGATTCACCCTGCCTTGCCACCCCACCGTGTGCCCTTGGCTGGCTCAGTTCCCATGCACAAATAAGAGTAGCCATTTTACTGTTGCCAAATCTAGCAGCAGGTCATATCACTGTCAGAAATGTTGAGAACTGCTTTCAGTGGCCACTGAGTCTCCTCAGTCCTTGCCTTGCACTTCCAAGGCAAAGCCCAAAGCTACTGCCAAAGTTAAGATGAAGAGAACAGCCAGGAGAGGGGTGGCAGTCAGCCATCCTACCCTAAGATTCCTTAACAATGAAATAATAACAATAACAATAATAATGATGATGATGATGATGATAGCTAACACATAGTGATTTCCATGAGCCAATACTGTTCAAGTACCTTGTGTGGACTAAGTAATTTAATCCCCCCACCAAACTCTACACTCCTTTTCATTCTGTTCCTCGTAGCAGAGCTGCAGAAGTAGGAGTCAGCTGCCTCTGGGTCCCAGCCATCTTCCTGGGGGATCCTGAGTATACCTGCTCTGTGACAGGAAGACCAAGTCAGAGTTCTCTGACTCCCTAAGTTAGGTGAGGGGCTCCTCTGAGCCTCCATTGGCCCCAGACTCCCCCCTGATTGCCTGGAGTTGTTACTGACCATTTCCCTGGGATTCATGTCTAAACTCTCTTTGACCCACAATAGGCCAGGCAGAGCAGTATAACTGGGTCCAAAGCAGGGCCTGGGTGGGTTTGCTGGGAAAAGCCCTCATTTATCCCACCAGTCTCCAAAGTCCCTTTGCTCATCCCCACCCCCACCTTTCATGGAAAAGAGGTTCCAGAAAAGGATGGTGTAGAAACATTTATTGGATGTTTATGGGGTTGGTCCACATGGGTCTAGATTTGGGACAAGGGACTCCTGAGGGCTGCCTGGGATGTCACTGGCAGTCATTGTGGCCATGAAGCAGTGCTGGAGCAGAAGTTTGGGGTCCACAGCCTGCTCCTCATTGCAGTCTAGCCATGGGTTCAGGAAGGGGTGATTCTGCCCAAGAATGCTCACTCCTGGCACCTCCATCGAATTGCCTGCATTTCCACCTTGGCAGTCAGGGGGCGCCTCCTCTTTGGGGTCTGGAAAACAGCAAGCGGAAGGCATTCCTCTTACAGACTTTCCTCCCTGACAGTCACATGCACCCTGGCTAACTTTCCTGAGTGCTTACCTTGGGCAGGACTCACTCAGTCTTTTTTTTTTTTTAAGATTATTTATTTATTTATTTACTTGAGAGAGCGAGAATGAGAGAGAGCACAGGAGAGGGGGGAGGGTCAGAGGGAGAAGCAGACTCCCCGCTAAGCGAGGAGCCCAATGTGGGACTCGATCCCGAGACTCCAGGATCATGACCTGAGCAGAAGGCAGTCGCTTAACCGAGCCACCCAGGTGCCCCCGGACTCACTCAGTCTTAAATGCATCATTCGCTTAACAAATATTTATTAACAACATACTACATCATTCACTAGGAGCTGTCAGTGCTTCTAATGAACTTAAAGTCTAGTGCAGGAGACAGACAATAAATAATTGTTAGGAAAAAATGAAGACTTGACCTTGGCCATAAACCCATGAGGTAGGTACTATTAAAAACTCATTTTATAGATGAGGATACAGGCTGACTACACAGCTAGCATGCAGAGAAGTGCTGGAAAAATTTAAAACATACATTATTCTCTTCTTTAAGAACAGATTCCATGACACACTACTGATTTATCCTCTCCTCCTCTTGTATATGAGCTTGAAAGGAGGCTCACTTGGCATTAGTATTCCCCACTTCTCGTTCATGACTTACTCTGCCGAAATCTACTTGGTTTCTGCTCCCAACATACCTCAAACATTTTGTCACTAAATCCCACAGTCACTTACAAATCCTTACCTCCCTTGACTTATTAGGAGCATTTAACACAATTGAGCATTCCTGCCTTTTTGGATAAAATGTGTATCAAGCGTTCAGGGGTACCTGGCTGGCTCAGTTGGTGGAGCATGAGACTCTTGATCTCAGGGTTGTGGGTTCAAGCCCCATGTTGGGTATAGAGATTACTTTAAAATAAGATCTTAAAAAAAAAAAAAAATAGCATATCAACTGTTCAAGCCGGAAATGGGAGTCACCAAGTCCCTCTGATTCCACCAATTACCATCTTCCATATTCACCCATTTCTCTACATCTTCAGGGCCACCACCCTCAGTCAGGCTTTCATCTTCTTCCTCCCAGACCACTGGAACAGCCTCTAGTTGGATCTCCTTCAGTCTACCCTCCAGTTTGTAGCCGGAGAGAGCTTTCTAAAGTCAAGTGAGTCCATGTACTGTTCTTTCTCAAAAGCCTTCAATGTCTTCCCATTACCTGTCATCCTTGGGGTGGCATTCAAGGCTCTTCACATACTGTCCCTTCCCTTCTCTTTGGCTTCATTACTATCACTCTTCCCTTAAGAACTCGATGTTTGCGACACCAAGGTTTTTATTGTGCCCTAAATAGTGCCATTCCTTTACATCTCTGATTTTTTGCTTGTGCTGTTTCTTCTGCCTGGAATGACATTTTATACCTTCTCTGTCTAGAAAACTCCATTGATTGGGGATACCCAGGAAGAATGATGCCTCTGAAACTAGGGGAAGAGTGAATTTTAAGAAGGAAGTTATATTGGACATTGGAGTTGACTACTTAACATTCATTCCACCTCTTCCCATCTGGTAATAGCAATTATATTTGGGTGGTATTGGTCCCATCCCAGCTCTAGGAGTAGGGTTGATCTGAGCCAATCAGATAATCCCATTCCTTTGCCACATGGATTGGTAATGATGGGTGCATAGCATTTCCCTGGGGACAATGATTGGTTTAGGGGTGGACACATGACCTGAATGGTCCAATCAGAGTAGAGCTCAGCTCCCCCCACACACTTTGAAGGAAGAGCTAGTTCCCTCTTTCTTCTCCTGGCTAGAGGGAAACAAAAAGCTGGTGGCCCCAGGGACTATTGGTAGCCAACTTTCTACCATAAGAAAAGTCAGCCTGAGGAGTAAGCCAACTCAAAATAGAGGGTAGAGTTGAAAGAATCTTAGAGGATAGAGCCACAAGCCTGACGACATAGTGAACTTTTTTTTTAAGATTTTATTTATTTGACAGAGACACAGCGAGAGAGGGAACACAAGCAGGGGGAGTGGGAGAGGGAGAAGCAGGCTTCCCGCCGAGCAGGGAGCCCGATGCGGGGCTCGATCCCAGGACCCTGGGATCATGACCTGAGCCGAAGGCAGACGCTTAACGACTGAGCCACCCAGGTGCCCCGACATAGTGAACTTCTATTCAAGCCATGCATAAAGCCTACCTCACTTTTAGACTTCTTACCCACAGAGCCAATAAATTTCCTTTTTTGTTGTTTGTTTTGTTTTGAACTTTCTATTTTTAAATAATTGAAGACTCATAAGAAGTTACAAAAATAGGACGCCTGGGTGGCTCAGTTGGTTAAGCGACTGCCTTCGGCTCAGGTCATGATCCTGGAGTCCCTGGATTGAGTCCCGCATCAGGCTCCCTGCTCAGCAGGGAGTCTGCTTCTCCCTCTGAGCTCTCTCTCTCTTTCTCTCTCAAATAAGTAATAAAATCTTTAAAAAAAAAAAAAAGAAGTTACAAAAATAGTACACTTATCCTTCACCTAAGGTAGCTTTCCCCAATGATAACATCTTAAATAACCATAGAATAACTTCAAAACTAGGAGACTGACATTGATACAATATGATTAACTAAACTACAAATCCTATTCAATTTCTACCAGTTTTTATATATATATATATTTTTTTGGTGTATGGTACTGTCAAAGTTTATCACATATATAGATTTATATAATCACTGCCACAGTCAGGATAAAGAACTCTTCCATCACCACAAAGAAACTTTTTCATGCTTCCTCTTTATACTCGGACCTTCCTCCTAAACCTAACTCCTGGTAACCACTAACCCGTTCTCCATTACTATAATTTTGTCATAGCAGAAGTGTGATATAAATGGAACTATATAGTATACAACCTTTTAAGATTGGCTTTTTTCGCTCTATATAACACCCTTGAAATCCATTTAAGTTGTTGTGTGTATCAATAGTGCATTCCTTTTTATGGCTGCATATATTCCATTGGGTGGTTGTACCATCTGTTCATTGCAGGACTTTTGGGTTGTTTCCAGTTTTTGTCAATTACAAATAAAGCTGCTATGAACATTCATGTATGGTTTTGTGCAGACATACATTTTCATGTCTCTAGGATAAATATGTAGGAGTGTAATTGCTGATTTGCATGGTACAGTGGGCTGAATGGTAGCCCCCAGATATTAGGTCCTAATCTCTGGAACCTGTGAATGTTACCTTATATGGTAAAATTTTGCAGATGTGATTAAATTAAGGTGTTATTTTTTTCTAACGGTTTTATTTACTATTTGACAGAGGGTGTGGGGGGGAGAGCACAAGCAGGGGGAGCTGCAGAGAGAGAGAGAGGGAGAAGCAGGCTCCCCACTGAGCAGGGAGCCCGACTCAGGGCTCGATCCCAGGACCCTGGGATCATGACCTGAGCCAAAGGCAGACGCTTAACCAACTGAACCACCCAGGCGCCCCAAATTAAGGATTTTGAGATAAGGAGCTTATCCTGAATTATCTGGGTGGGTCCTAAATGCCATCACCACTGCCTTTATAAGAGAAAGGCAGAGGGAGACGGACACACACAGAGTGATGTAAAGAGACATGTAGAGATTGCAGTGATACAGCTACAAGCAAAGGGAACTGGACAAGGCGAGGAACAGATTCTGCCTTGGAGCCTTTAATTTCACCCCAGTGAGACTGATTTTGGATTTCTGGGCCCCGGAAATGTGAGATAATGCATTTCTGTTATGTTAAGCTTGTGGAAATTTGTTACAGCAGCTGTAGGAAGCTAATACATAGAGTAAGTGTATGCTTAACTTTATGAAAACACCAAGCTGATGGATGGTGAGAATGGCTGATTAGGGATCTCCCACCAACACCTTTTAGAGGGAGAACTGAACTCTTGCCTATCATTTTCCCCCTGTTTTTTTTGTCTCTTATTAAATGTGTCTAGGTTGGAATATCACCTCTACATTTACCTCATTCACCTCATCTGCAAAATAGAGTTGATAATAGCCACTTGGCAGAGTAGTTGAGCAGGTTAAATGGGATAAGGTGTTTAAAGCATAGCACCTAGCATAACAGTAGGAACTCAGTCACCCTTCTGACCAAGCTAGTTCCTCACAGAGTACCAGAGTAAGAAAGTTACGGTCTATGTTGCATCCTGAGTTTGGGGGATGGGGTTGGGGTGGGAGTGATGGGATAGTACAGAATGCCTGGGCAGCAGGAGGAATCTATTTTCAGAAACTCTGGTCCATTTCCACTCTGCTCTTATCCCCCTAGTCAGATATCATGGCCCCAAGATACAGTGCCATGATTGTAGGCTTTAGAATCTGGGAGATTGGGGTTGACTCCTCAGCAACACAAGCTCACTAGCTGTGTGGACTTGGCTAATTCACTTCCCTTGGCTAACCCTTGGTTTCCTCTGCTATACAATGGGGCTAATGATCTCTGCACATGTCCTACTAGAGAGGGAGACAGAAATGAAACATTTTTGTAAAGGTAAAGCTCTGATGAATGTAAGACAGTGGGCCTGTAAACTGTCTCAGATGCAGGAGGGACAGGAGGCTCCTGGTAGATGCTGTGAGTTCAGAGGAAGGAGAGCGTGGCACTTAATGAAGGGGAGGAACTAAGAGCTGAGTTTGGGCAAAAGGCAGAGAGAGCTGAAATCTATCACTTAGTAAAAGGTCAGGAAATGCATTTTCCATCTTAAAAATAAGAAGCAAAAAGCAAGAACACAAGCTGTCTCAAGCCCTAGAGACTGAATAATCCAGCTGGTGGCTGAGCAGTGAAAAGTAGGAGGGTGGTTTTCATTCACAGGGCCAAGGCATGAACTATATTTCGTTTGAGTCAGAAAGGTTTGGGGGGATAAAGTGGGGAGAGGGGAGGGGAGCAGGACACAAGCAGGAGCACCCCACAGACCGGGCCTGGTGACACAGAAAGAATGGGACTTTGGGGACACAAAAAGAAACACG